TTTATATTTATTTGAGACCTATAATATTAATTATATCTGTTTATTTAATAATATGTAAAAATTATATACAATTAATACATGTGCAGCAATCTTTAAAAATAAAGGTTAAAAAAATATTAGAATTCTCAAAAAAAAAAAAGTTTGAATTCCCAAAAAAAATGCAGTAGGCTTCTTGGAGAAGCTTTGAGAAAGTTAACGGAAAGATAACGGAGAAATGGACGGACGTGACGGATGGTAAGCCCAACAAAAGGAAGTTACAAAAAAGGGTTATTTTCTTCCATTCTTATAGGTTAGAGACTAAAACCGTTATGTTATAAGGTGAGGGGTCAAAACCGTCCAACTTATCAAGGTAAGGGGCTATTCTTAGGCTTTTACCGTACTAATCAGACTCATCCGATCAATTTATGTCAAGTTCTTATTATTCCCACTTTATCATCTTAGTATTGTACTGCAAAAAAGTTGGTATAGTATGAAATATGAAAAGAAAGAAGTAAATAGATTAATTGTTTACCTTTTCATTGAAAAATGAAATGTTTGCTTCCTTTTCATGGCTGAAACTAATGAACTTTGGCAGATGTTGTATTCTCAAGCACTTAAGCTTGGCAAGCTTAATTAAATCAGTTGCTTCAGTAATATCATCAGTGTCTTCTTCCTCTTCATCATCCCCTTGCCCCTCATCATAAAAAATCTCTACTATTTCACTGCAGTCTGTCACTCTAATTTCCTGAAGATGAAGAAGCCGTTTGGCTATAGAGAAGCAGAACAAATTCTTCAGCTTACCGCAACATTCTACAGTAATGATTCTTAACTTCTTAAGAGATGTTTGTTCAAATTGGCCATAAAATATCTTCTCAATCGCCATCAAATTGTGAAGAAATAAAACTTCCAAGTTGGGCAAGACTTTGCTACGGATCCGCATCACTGAGTTAAAAAACATATGTTGAATCTCTTGATCATTCTTGACATGGAGATGCTTCAGTTCTTGAAATTAAACCATGATCATCTAACTCATTAACTACATTCTTGACACCATTCAACATCTCCAGATGCAGTTCCTCTGCCTGTTTTAGCAACTTTCTGACTGAATAATCAAAACTAGTGCTTCGACCCAGCTTCAGCTTTAGCATTTTCGAGTTTTCAAAAGAACTGTCCCAATAATTCCACACATCTCCTATGAAAATCTTGTATCGTTTCAATTCTACAGAGAATAAGCCATCTGGAATCCTATCGATACAATGAATGCGAACCTCTAAAGCCGTTAGGTTTTCCAATTGTCTCAACTCCTCAAGGCTAGCATTTGTTTTCTTGTCAGACTGCCATTGGTCAAAGCTGTTTCCCAGATATAATTCTTCTAACTGGGTTAATTTTGACAAGACATCTCGTGGAATTGCTGTGAGTTTAGTACAGTCACTCAAATCTAAAAACTTCAGCCTTATCAGCTTCCCTATTTCCTCTGGCAGCTTCTGGATATCACACCTCGCAAGGCTGAGCACTTGCAAATTCTTCAGCTCCCCAATAATGGAGCCAATGTTTAAATCTTTATCAAACTCACTCTGATCCAGACATAGGGTATGAAGATTTATTAGGAGTGAAATTGACAGGGGGATTGACTCAAAACGCACTTTAGTCAAACCCAAAACCCTGAGTCCTTCCGCTCCCCTAAACAAGTAATTTGGAATTGCTTGGCGATCATTGTTGGCAGACAAATGAAAGAAAGTGAGCTGTGGACATTTTAACTCAGCTGGAAGCTCACTAGCATCAACATTTGATAAATAAATCCATTTGGATTTTTTCAATGCCTTCTCGTTTAACCTGTCCTTAGCTGCATCTTTTGTGAAGGCTAGCACACCATGGTCCCCAGAAGCGATTGATATGGCAACTCCTCGAATTGGTTCATGCATATCAAAATGCATATTGCTACCGCCAACCAGCAACAAGGAATAGTCTCTTATCAGTTCATTCACCAATTTCAGTGCTTCGTCTCTTGCTTTCTCCATAGATTTGGCTCTTGGGAATAATCCCAATCCTATGCCATACTTCAACAAGTCTTGAAGGCCAGCATTATGACCCATTAGACTACAAAGCAATAGACTTTGTTTGAGTTCCTTGCTTTTCAAATCACTATATCTCAACTCGATAGCTGAATAAAGGCTTGGTGATATCCCATTCAAATTTGGGTTCTTTTGAAGCCGAAGTAGAGTAATCCTCCACTTTTGTGGATCCTTATCTTTCAAAGTATCTGCAAGTGTTGCAATGCCAATTGGTAATCCTTCACACCTCTTGGAAATCTCCTCTGCAATAGTCAGCAAAAATTGATTTCCAGCCTTCTCACCTGCTTCCTTCATCTTCTTATGAGTATTCTCACCTGCTTCCTTCATCTTCTTATGAGTATTCTCACCTGCTTCCTTCATCTTCTTATGAGTATTCTCCAAACCTGCTGTCTTCCGAAAAAGCTTCCATGCTTCTCCATCTTCTAACTTGGGAACTTCAATTATCTGAGTATGCATGCTACCGTCGTGTGATAAAACACGAGGATTTCTTGAGGTCAGCAATACAGTACACTCTGATGATATTTCCTCATTTTTTTCACCTAGAGGCTGCTTGAGCTTCTGCTTGTTTCCATAAGGAATCCCAACTTTCTCCAAATCCATTCTTTCCTAAATATCATCTAAAATGACAAGAACCTTCCTGTTTGTCAGCCTTGACTTTATTCGGTCAGCAGCTTCCTCCTCTGTAACTCTATCATGCAGCTCTATCCCCAAGTCACGAGCAATCTCATCTTGAATTCTTCTCCAGTCTCGATTCTTTGTCACTTTAGCCATAACAACAACATCAAACAGCTTCACTTTCTCAGCTTTTGTTTTAATTTGTTCAACCAGCATCGTTTTCCCCACACCAGCCGCCCCGTACACTCCTATGCTGTTGATCCCTGGACTTAGAAGTGCCTCCATGATATCCTTCAGAACACGCCTTCTGGAGTTGAAGTTCTCAGAGTCATCAAAATTGGCAGCCTCAGCCAGTTCCTGATTTCTCCTTAGGTAATCAACATCTCGCCTTTGAACAGGAACGGGAACAGAAGAGTATGAAATTGCGTTGAAATCCTCATATCTACAAAGCAGGAAATCTGCTACTTCCACACACCTGACTGCTGCCTTGTTGAATCGGTACCGAGCCGGAAGATTAGGACACGTCCTGAAGCAGTACATCTTCCTGCCTAGATCTTCGCCAGCCAATAATAAATTCACGTTATGAATGAACTCTTCTGTAGTATGCATCCAACGCTCGACGCTAGGCACAATCATCTCGCCTAGTTGTATAGCCTCGTCAATATACTGCTGCAGCGCGTTTCTTTGAGACTCCAGCCTCGAAACTATATCTCGCAACCTCTCCAAATTCTTTTTCCATTGAAAAACAAATCTGATCCTAGAAAGGCAACAAACAGTTGTATATTTGAAAATTTCAATTGCAAATCCTGCGACTTCCATCTTCGTGTTCTTTTCAATTTGGGTTGTTGGAAAGAGGTGAGAAAACAAAACTAAATAGAAACTTGAGACAAAAGTAAATAAAAGAAAAAGAAAAAAAACCAAGCAAACAACTTGGCACAAAAGCGACAAACGAAAATCAAACACGAATAACCAATGGAGATTTGTTTGAGATAAAGGAATTAAAAAAACGAAAAAAGGGATTTTTTTTTTTTTTTAATTTCGTGTTCTTATCAATTTGGGTTTTGGAAAAAACGCCAGAAAACAACACTGGAGAGGAATTAAACAAGAACAACTTGGGACAAAAAGAAAAAAATCAAGCGTGGATAAGCACTGGAGATTAGTCTGAGATAATGAAGTGAGAAAGGAAAAAAAAAAAAAAAAAAACCTGCGGAAAGAGGCAGAGAGTTTGTAGCAATGGAAGGGGGAATAAATTTGGGCGGGGAACTCTGGAATGGTAACTGGAAAGGCAGTGTTGTAGGGGAAGCCAAGTTTGTCCAGATTATTTATAGAATTTTTTTTTTTTTTATGAGGATTGTTCATATAAACTTAGAGTTAAGCAGTACTGTTCCTTCATTAAAAAAATAAAGATTTAATAATGTTTTAGGTCCTTGAACTTTTTCATTTGATACTAAAATGGTCTTTGAACATTTTTCGCTCCTCTTTTATCCCTCAAAAGCTCAACTTTTCATTTTGACACCAAAAATGATCCTTCCATCAACGGATTGCAAACCTAACCAAAGTAGTCAATACCGTACCGGCATGCGTACCGGTTTTGTTACTAGAACGGTACGTATCGGATACCGGAATTTTTCGCGTACCGTTTCGGATTTATTGCTATAAAAAAATTTTATGAAAAATTTGGGGAAGAAGTTGAAGAAAAAAAACAAGAAAAGGACTAAATTGAAAAAATTAAAAAGCTGAGGATGAAATTTACTAAAACAAACCATAAGCCCAGCCCAATATTGAGCAGCCCATCAAAACCCAAATTTAACAAAACCCTAATTTCCTCTCTTTCTCTTTTAAGGGGAGAATGACGACATGCGGCTGCCAAAGCAGCCAAACCCAAAAAAAAAAAAAGAAAAAAAAAAAAGGAGAAAGCAGAAAAAAACCTTGATTTTTCTCCCTTCTGCAGATCCACCATCGCCACCATCGCCACCATCACCTCCGTTCTTTCACCACCATCACCTCCGTTCTTTCACCTCGGATCTTCACCATCCCCTTGCTGATCTGACTTTGTTTTTTGTTTTGTGTGGGTTTTTTTGGTTTGTTTGTTTATATGTTGCTTTGCTTTGTTTGTTTGCTGTTTTTTGCTCTGTACGGTGCAGATCCGGCGGCCTTCTTTCTCCTCCGGCGGATCTGTGGCGGCGCGCGCGAGGGCTGCCAGATCTGACGCCCACCGCGACGCTTCTGTTGGTTTCGAGGGACTATGGCTGCCGGATCGGGTTACCGCCGCCACCCCCAGCCAAAACGACGTTGTTTTTGCTAGAGATTCTTTTTTTTTTTTTTCCTTCTTGCATAATGTACTGGTCAAATTCCGGTGTACCAGCCGGTACTCGAAATTTCGGCCGGTACACCCGAAATTTGACCGAAACGGAATCTTAACTTATTCCGTTTCGGTTAACCTTTAAAACCGGTACGTACCGGCCGTACCGGCCGGTACGGTACGATATTGACTCCTTTGAACCTAACACGTTAACTGAAGGTTAAACTGTCAATCTGGTCCTTAAAATTTTAACTTTGGGATAAAATAGTCCTTAAACTTTAAGAAAATACCAAAATAGTTCTTAAATCTTTTGGTACCAATTTTGTCCTTCCATCCGCTAAGAGTTGTGGTCAATTTTCCTTTAGGCAAAATACCCATATCCACCCCCAAAGTATAATGGGATGGACGGATCCACCTCCGAACAAAAAACGAGAATAAATCCACCCACAAAATTTTTTGGACAAACAACCCATTATTTGACGGGCCACATCAACTGACGTTATCTTCTTGTTAACAGCATGCTTACTCAAACATTTTAAACACGATGGAGGTTTTTTCGCCTGCATGGATGTTGAACTGACCCATTCCCACCCATTTTAATCCTACGTGGTGATTTTCCCCCTTTTTTCCATTACACATCAAGTAGGCCCCACCTAAAAATTCCATAAAAATTCATTTTTGGCTAAAACCTAACTTATTTTATCTATTTGATTAAAGATTAAAAATGGAAAGAAAAACCTTGTCAGCTTGTCAACCTGTAAACCTTGTAAACCAAAGCTAATCCCATGATTTTCCCATTTCAAGTCTTTTTGCAACTGTACTTGGAGAATCTCTTGATCGATAGTTGGAGGGGATGCGACATTCTTTGTCGAATCTCAAGACTAAAATCGAAATAGGAAATTGAGTTAGCAGGATGAAGGCTTTGTTGATCAAGATAGAGACAATAAGTATTGCTTTTGGTTTTTTGGTGTCTTTTTTTTTTTTTGTATAGAAAGTTGTGGGTGGGTTATGGGTTTTATAAAGTGCTTACATTTTGGGTAGTATTATAATGTTGCTGTTAATCTGTGGGCCACTAAAAAAGATAATGCTTTTTTTTGGCATTTTTTATTGAATAGCATGGCAATTGAATTATGGGGAATGTTGTGCTTTTTCCATGGTGGGACATTTGGTCCAGGACCACCAATTGAGTATAAAGCCGCTCAATGTACATCATTACCCTTTGACTGTGATAGGTTGAATGTTGGTGTGATCATGGATGCAATTGTTAGTTTTGGCTATGAAGATGTTATGATTAAAAACGTGTATTACACAACAATTGGAGGAAGTGGTAGCACATTGAAGTGTTTGGCTGGTGATGACAATATTAGGGACATTATGTGCATGGTGCATGTTGATGGTTGTGTTGATATATATGTTGATCATGAGGTCAATTTTGCCCAACTTGCTTTTCCAGAATTATGTTGGGTTGATAACAATGTAGTTGAGGAGGAAGGTAGGCGTGAAGAAAGGGTAGGTGAGGATGAAGGTGGACATGAAGAAAGGGTAGGTGAGGGTATTAATAGTGAGGTTTGTGAGGGAGCAAATGAAGGTGATTTGGGTAACATAACCCAAGAGTACCCTGTTGGTAGTAAGGCTAATACTGGGAATACATTTGAGAAAGATGAATGTAGTAAGGGTAATAGAGGTAATTGTGGAGAATCAGAGTTTGGGTCAACTAATGGTTATGTTGATGATTGGAGCTCAACAAATGATGAAGTAAAACCTCTTTGCAGTAGTGATAGAGATGATGAGGAGTTAATTAATGTGAAGAAACATGCAAGGTCTATTAGGAGACCAATAAAAGGATTAAAAGTTCCCAGTGGGGTTCAAACACTATAAGGGGTCAAGTACAAGCATGTTGCAAAGAAGCCAACCCCTAGATCTACTTTTATAAAGAAGCCAGCCATTAGATCTACTCCAGTCTTTAAGGGTAAGAAGGTTGCATCATTAGATCCTATTGAGTTGAGAAGATTAAGGAAAGAGAAGGCAAAGCTTGCAAAGAAAAAGTACAAAACACTACCTCATACAAGGGAATGTCAAAAGGGAAAGGATTCAACACCAACTATACAGAAGAAAAGAGATCTTGTACATCCTTCTAAAGGCATTCCTATTGAGAATGATGTGTTTGAAAGTGACAATGATGGCAGAGACAGTCAATATGAAAATAGTGATGCTGCTAGGAAGTTGAGGGATTCATCTATTAAGTATGAAGAAGAAAATTTGTTTTTTGTTTTAGCTGATGCAACGAGACAAATGAGAGCTTCTAATGTGTACTTCAATCTTTGTTGGGATGTACGATTCTTTGAAGTTGGTATGAGATTTCAGAATGCAACACAGTTCAAGGAAGCAATGAAAAAGTATTCTATGAGAATTAGTTGTCCTTTACTTCATACAAGGAACAAGCCTAAGAGACAAAGGTTCTTTTGCAAATCTGGTTTCCATTGTTGGGAGATTGATGGTTCATTTGTCAATAAATATAATAGTTTCCAAGTAAAAACATACTACTCTGAACATACATGTGTTAGAAATTTAGAAAACAAGATGATGTCAATTGTGATGGTTGCCGAATACTTTAAATCAAGAATTTATGCTACACCTTTCTTGAAATGCAAAGATATGATGATATTTCCATACAACAAGTTGAGGGTTAGTATAAATTATAAGAAATGTGTTAGAGCCAAGAAAATGGTATCGAAGGAGACAGAGGGGAGTTTTAAGGATGAGTATGCCATGATTCATGCATTTGGTGGGTATTTGAAGGAGGTCAATCCTAAAAACTCAGTTTTCATTAAACTGAAGAAAATGATTCTAGTGAGAGAGTGCTCATAAGACATAATGTATGTTTGTTTGAAAGTTATCAAAGATGGATGGAAGAGTGGTTGTAAAGGAATCTTTGGAGTTGATGGTTGTTTTCTAAAGGGAATTTGTAAGGGTGTACTACTATCTGCTGTCGTTCATGATGGAAATAACCAGATGTACCCAATTGCATGGGCTGCAGTAGAATATGAGAACAATGATTCACGGACATGGTTTATGTAGAGGCTTGCATTTGATTTGGAGCTTGGAATTGGGCATGGTTAAACAATGATATCTGACAAGCATCTAGTATGTATTTTTATTATTTTGTGTATTCCTGAAATTTTACTTATTATATTGTTAAATAACTCGATTTATTAAATTAAACTTGTAAGGAATTATCTATGCAAAGGTAGAAGTTTTGCCACTTATAAATCACAGGTATTGTGCAAGACATCTATATTGCAACCTTGCAAAAGGCATAAAGGGGATGATATCAAACTGGCCTTTGGGATAGCTACAAAGGCATCATACCAAATTGAATTTCTCGAGAAAATGGAAGAGTTGAGGGGAGTCTCCGAGGAAGCTTATGCTAAGATGATGGATCTAACAGGAAGGTTATGGTTCAAGGCATTTTTCAATGAAGACTTTAAGTGTGATGTTGTTAATAACAACATGTGTGAAACATTTAATTCATGGATTTTGGCTGCTAGGTGTAAGGTAATCATTTCTATGATTATAACTTTAATTGACTAGTTGATGGAGAGATTCAGGGAAAAAGGGTTGTTTGTAGAGACATGGCCAAATGATATTGCACCTAGAGTCATGAAAAAGATAAAGGAAAATATCATGAGGTCAATGTAGTGTTATGTCAAGTGGAATGGGGACCCTTCATTTGCTGTGTGTGATACTACTTCTGATGTGACACATGTCATTGATTTCATAACAAAAAATTGTTCATGTAAAGAATGGAATTTAACTAGAATCCCCTACCTTCATGTCTTGTTAGCTGTTAGGTACATGAATTGGAATTATGAAGATTTTGTTCATGAGCACTATAAGAAGGAAAAGTACCTGCAAGCTTATGGGACTACATTGGAGTGCCCTAGGCAATGAGGTCTTGAAGAGAAGACCAAAAGGAGGTTATGTACCACCAGTGTTGAGAACACTACCAGGATGACCAAGGAGGAATAGAAGAAAAGATAAGCATAAGCCTAAGAAAGTTAAGGTGGGGAAATTCAGTAGGTTGTCTAGCATGGGTTTGTCATGAGTTGTAGCTTGTGTGGTCAACAAGGACACAATTAAGTTGGATGTCCCAAGAAAGGAGGAGTTAGTAGAGACTAGTCAAAGAAATGTAAACTTATGTTAATTACACTACCTCATGTAAATTTTTGTCTTTTTTGTTGGCCTAAATTTCAATGCTGTAATTTCAGGTTGATAAAAGCATCAAAAGAAAAAGGCCAACCAAAAACCCAAGGTGAATGCAGGAAAAGGAAAAGGGAGAAAGGTGTAAGAACAAATTGAAAAAATCATCAAAAAAAAGGGTGAATGATGCTAGAGGCAAGGAACCACTTAAAAGGGAAACAAGGGCCAAAAGAAAGATTGATTGTGTAAGTTCTTTTCCAGAATTATAGTGCTTGAATATTTATTTCACAAATTAAATTTCAAGTGTTTGATGACTAGTATATTATGTAGGTTGGAGGAGTAGTCATCAACGAAGGCAAAAATGACTTAAGAAAGAAGTCAAAGTAATCGTCTATAAAGGGAAAAGAGAAAGCATGACTCAATGTCATTTTATATTTTCTTGTTTTGGGGATGTATTTTGAACTTCTGTATGTCTATGTTGGTGGTTTGTAATCACAATTGACAGTTGGTTATTATGCCTTTTTTTGGGGATGTACATGTGGTTATAATGCCTTGCTCTATTATGTCTTGTTTTACTTTATTTCAATGGCATTATATTCAATCAAATTTGCTTGTATAGTGGCATGTTTCAAGGTAACATCATCATTATGATTTAGCTATTGTCCATTGTAAAAAGTCAATTACATTTGGTTACTACAAAAAAGGACATGACCAAAATGTTCTTACAAAATAGGCAGAATATGCCATGCCCCCAACAAACAAACAAAATATGACATCTCCTATACCTTACAACAAAGATCTCAAAATAAGAACCAAACAAACATAACCAATACAAACCTAAACCCCAAAGCCAGTACATAAGCATAGATTAATTTCTTAATTTCAAATGGATAGAGACTGAAACTGAGGCATCCAACTTTCTCTTCACATCATCAATAGCTCTTGACACGGCATTTTGTATAATTTCCTCCAACTCAACTCCATTTCTTTGGCCAGATTTCTACAGGTTACACTTGACGTGGCATGGCTTGACTCAACCAATACAAGTGACTCATCTAACACAAGTATAATTCCACCCACATTTCTTTGTTTCAATTGCCTTTTCAAAGCTACAATTTCCTTACTCATACATTTTTTCTTATTAATCAACAATTTTAAAAGCTCAATAGCTCTTAATTGTTAGTTCAAAGTCATGCGAAACAAAGTATGCACACCTCAAATCCTGAATGAAAAATATTTCCAATTGTAAATATTTATTACAAGATAAAACAAAATTACATACCCATAATGAAGAAATTATGCGTACAACATTCAAGAAATTCGGGCACCCATAAAAGCGTCTGCCAATGCTCCACGGTCTCCATGAAGTCCACCTCGGTGCCTTGAATCCACACTCGTAGGACATCTAATGCCCTTCATATGTCTGCTTAATCAACCCAAAATCCTTCACCCCAAAAGAAGCTTCAAGTCTTAATAATCGAGAATTAGAGGAAGATGCCATGGAATTAGCTTCCCCTAACCCAAATTTGGAGGATAAAGAGAAACCCTAACCCACGATTTCATGAAAAGAGGGAAGGAAAGGGGAAGACACAGGTAAAATTTGAGTTTTTTTTACGGTTTATATATTTTTAGGTGGG